AGTTGAAGATTCATGGGTAAAGGCATATATTGTAAAACACCATGAACATTCTCCCATGACCCTCCAAAACACAAATCTATCCAAACATTATCAACATTAGATGATTTCATTATTGTAAATTAATTTACTAAACAAACGAGTTGTGAAACTAAAACCTGTTGCCGGATGGGGAAGGATGTCGTTGGATATAGGAACAGATGTAGCTGAAGAGAGTGATAGATGGAGATAGAATGAGTTGCGATTTAGGGATTTAGGTTATGAGTTGCTGCTGCTGCGTAGTTATATACCCAAAACATTTGTGTTGCAAAACTAAAACCTGTTGCGAATTCAGAAATCGAGTTGCAAATTTGAAATTCAGTATTGCGATAGTCAGAATCTCGTTGCGATTTACGTATTTACATTGCGATTTACGTATTCGTATTGCGATTTACGTAATCGCATTGCGATTTACGTATTCGCATTGCGATTTTCCAAATTCGCGTTGCGATTTTCCAAATTCGCGTTGCGATTTTCCAAATTCGCGTTGCGATTTTCCAAATTCGCGTTGCGATTTTCCAAATTCGCGTTGCGATTTAGGAAAATCGCAACGCGAATTTGGGAAATCACAATGCGATAGTCAGAATCGCGTTGCGAATCTGGAAACTGATTTGCGATACCGGAGATCGCGTTGCGAATTATCGATCGCATTGCGATTTAGTTGGTCATTTTGGCAAATCCAAAAAAAATTGGTTAAAATGTATATTATAAGGCATTTTTGGTCACTGAGGTTATTTTCTCGAAAAATAAAGAGAACAGATGGGATTAGCCGCAAATATTCTCATTATTATATTATTTTATTATATTTTATTTGTTTTTATTACTCCACAAAAGAGCAAAAAAACAAACAGTGGAAGATTAGACGGTCACAAAACGCTAAAACGGTGCACTTTACGACCTTTTCAAAAGCTACAAAAAGCGACCGCCTTAGTGAACCTCCCGTGTCTCGCTCTACCTCCAACTTTGGAGGCGCATTTTTCTGCGTCCACAAGCATTTTGCGCCTAAGACGAGCTTTTTACAACCAAGAGAAAGCCAAATTATTTTTTGGGTAAACTATAAGGATGATCATTTACGTTTTATTTTTGTGCACTTTTGCTCATCAAATTCAGAAAATATAAGTTTTGGTCATTTACGTAATCATTTTATTCATTGAAACGTTGAATGTTGTTGAATTGATGATGTATCACGTTAATAAAAATGTTAAAATTTCTTTTACCCTTAACTTTAAATAAAACATTAATTATGAGTCTTTTGTAAATCTAAAAAAGTTTAGGGATAAGTTTTAATTTATCCCATTTTTAATATGTTTTTATTCAACGCACTTTGTTGAACCATAGGCATCTTCCCCGTCGCCGGTCAATCGGACTTTCAGCAAAGAAATCCATGCTGAGGAAAGAAAAAGAACTTATCCAAAAATTCGTTTGTCGATCATCTTCCACCCAAGATAGGCAAAGAAAAAGACAACCGATAAAAAATGGAAAAGAAACCCGATAACTTAAGAATAACTGTGTCGAGGTAACATGAATATCAACAGCGACAATTAACCTTTTTTATTAATGTGCATATCTTCAACTTAACGACAATTAACCTTTCGGTGACCAAAACTTATATTTTTTGAATTTGATGAGCAAAAGTGGATAGAAATGAAACGTAACTGATCATTCATGTAGTTTACCCTTAGTTTTTTTTTTTAAATTTCAGGGACCTATTTATTTTTAAAATAAATAAAAAAATATATTAAATTTAAATTTAAATATAAAAATATTCAAATATTTAAAATATTAAGTATTAAAAAATTAAAATTAAAAATTCAATTACTAAAAATTAAAATATATCTATTTAAAATATTATTAAAAATTAAAAAAAAATTAAATGCATATCATGACTTATAAAATGATAACTTATAAATTTTAAAAAAATCAATTTTTTTTTAAAAAACGTATATTATATATAATAGTCTTAATATACTTTTTAGTGTCTAAATTATATCTCAAATTGATTTTTGGTGCAATATTTTTTTAAAAAAAATATGTGTCTAACGTTTTCTTCATTACTATTTTAGATGCCCGGGTGTTACCACCGTTAAAAACTCTGTTAAATGGCATATGCCACGTTTTGATAATTTTAAAAAAAATATTTAAAAATTAAAAATATTTTTTATTCAAAAACAGCCTACGACGTCATCCCCCTCTCCCTTCGCTTGTTCTCCTTTCTCTCCCTCCCCTACAACTTTCTCAAAAGTTTGTCCAATAGGATTCAAATGGACGACTGCCACGATTGACCAAATGGAAAATGACCAACTGCCACATCTGATCAAATGGCTGATTACCGTAATCGATCTAAGGAATTTTTAGAGATTCAATTAAAACAAAATCTTACATTTACACCGTTGTTGGGTGTTTGACCAATTGCGAAAGTATAAGAGTTTTGGTCATGGGTGGTTGGTCGATCTCACGTTGTTGGATGTTCGGATGATTGACAACGTTAGTGGCGATCGGCGGTGACAAAGGGATTAAAATTAAGTTTATATAATAATATATACATATAATATATTGTTATATCATCAACGCTTATTCAAAAATTTGGTAAGTTACTCGCATCAATATACAAATTTCTTCATATTTCACATATTTTTAAGCACCATTGTATATACTAGCTTATTATATGATGTGCAAGGATTTTGAATAGTCCTCAAATTATTCGAAATATGATTAGATGTATGTATTGATACAAAAAACTTATTATTTTTCCTAATTATATTTAGATACAAATTTTATAAGTTTCAACTAATCCAGTAAGAATATTTTGTATGGCTGTTGATAATATTATTATATGTTGCATGTATATATTATGAATAATATATATTTTTAAATATTTTTAATAATTTATAAATTATCATTTTATAACTTATTATATATATTTAATTTCTTTTTAAAAATGGTAATTCTAATATATATTTATTATTTAGTAATTTAATTTTTATTTTAAATATTTTTATATTTTTAATATTTAAAATTTAAAATTTTCAATATTTTTATATTTAAAAATAAATTTAAGATAGTTTTTATTTTTTCAAAAAAAATAAATAAGTCCTTGAACATTTAAAAAACCAATTCGACCATGAACAAGACCAAAAAATCAATTTAACCTATGTAACATGTTATCTGCCACCGTAGGCTGCCACATTAGTATTGTGAACTACCATGTCAGTCAGAATCATGAATTGTCACGTCAACACTGTAATGGTTAACAATAGAAAACATTGGTCAAAGGAATACATTGAGTTTGTTTTCTAAGTTGAAATGCCACATTAGGTAAAAAATAATAATTCAATACAAGAGCCTTAGATATCTTTTAACCATTTAAAAGAAAAACTTCACATTTTTTAAATTGAAATAACATTCTTTTAAAGTAATATTTATCTATAATTTTAAAAAATTTAATAATAAATTTAATTATCAATATTAATTTATTTTTATTAGTTCTAGTTTTTAGTTAAGTTAAACACTTTACATTTTATTTTAGTCAAATTATTCTAATTTTAACGGAACGAATGATATATGATAAACTTTTGATAATATTAATATGATAGTTCGTGTGAAAATCTACATATATTAAGGGGTTGTTTGATTAAATTAGAATGATTAAGCGCTGAATGATTCAATGGCCTGAATGATTCAAAGGCTCTGTATGAATTAGCTCTGAATGTGACATGTTGTTTGATAATGGTTCTGAATCATTCAGAATGTACTTTAATGTTGAATCATTCAGTAGTGTTTTGCTGAATCATTCAGCACAGTCTTCATTCAAATGTGAGAATCAAACACACTGAATGTTGAACGGTCCAGCATTCAGCAGTAAACAAACATCCCCAAGTAATTAATGGTAAAGGTACTACAAATGTAAGGAGTTGTTGTTATTCTGTAAACATTGTTACCTCTTTTACTTAATATCATTTTTTATAAAAACAAATTAATTTTCCTTAAAAAAAGGTTAATGGCTCAACTAAGCTAAAAAAAACAAGAATCAACTTAACAACAAGTATAAAAGTTGAGGACTAAGTTTCTCATTATACCTTTTAAAAATATTATAGGATTAACTAGACGTGAACCTTTAATGATACGGCCTCTCCTATTTATATACACATCCATTTAGTCTTTCTAAATCTAATTTTATCTATTAAAAAAATCCTCGTTTTGATTATAAAATTAATATCAAACAGGTAAAAATAAAAAAATTATAGTAAAAACGATGGTTTCAAACCAATAGTAAAAGCTAGAACTTTTAATTTTTTTCATTTTAAACTTTATATTTGGAAGAAAATTATAATTTTACTCTTATTAATGTACGTGCTCCACTCAATTATATATTTATATTTTTTAATAATTTAATATTAACAAACTTAAAAAATAATTTATTTTAATTAATTAAATAAAAATAAAATTCATGATTTATATATTAAAATTTACTTTAATTTGCAAGCACTATTATATTTTTGTAATATTTTTTTGTCAAAGTATTTAAATTATTATTTTGTAATAATTTTATATTCACATATTAAAAAGTATTGTCAATATATTTTTTAATAAAATATTTCATTTATAAAAATATTCTTAATAAGTTATCTTAAAATATTTTTATACTTTTATTATAGTTTAAATTGATATATTTTATATATCATAATATTAATAAATAAAAATATAATTTAAATTCTATAATTTTGATTTATAATTTAATGTCTATAAAAACATTTTATCCTTTTAAACTTAATTTTTAACAACAATTTTAAATAACTAAATTTTAAACTATACTTTTAAACATTAATCTAAAACTTTTTTTACCGTATTTTTAAAAGTGACTTGAGCATGTCAAACGGGTCTTAACCAACTTCAAAAGCACTGTGATTTATGGCAACGGCGTTCAAAGCTCCGTGTTTGGTGAAACAGTGGCAACAGAAACTAGTCCTTAACTGAACCACCAGCCTTTCCTTTCAACCAATTGTTAAAAACCCACTAATATTGCACAATCGATAGCTCTTGTTCGATCTACTCCTCAAATTCCTCAACAAGCTCCCAGGTTTATTGGTTTTCTTTTTTTTACTTTCTTATAACTTCGTGCATGGGTTTTGGATTTTCATTTTCAATAGTAATTCATTGATTGATTGGCATTTCTGGAAATACCCATTTCGTTTATTGTGAAATATTGGTGGGTTTTAAGTTTCTCTTCTTGATCTTCTCGTTTAATGCTTTTTTGAATCTGTTTCTTTGTTCCAAAGTCTAGTGTTCGATTAGTTTTGATGATGAAAAAAGGGTTCAATTTTGTTTCTTTTAGCCTTTTCCTTTTCTGGGTTATAGTTAATTGTTGGTATTAAAACAATGAATTTGACATATTTTCTTATTGATTTTGAATTGTGTTTAGTATTTTTAGTAATGAATTGTATGGTATATACGGTAATGGAATATGCTCATAATCTTTCAAAAACCAAAGCTGTCATGTTATGCTGTAAATATAATTGATTATTGTCTTGGTTATTGTCGCTGTTAAGATTCATCATTGATTTCTTTTGATGGTATCAGGTTCTGGAGGTATACGTGATCAAACGAAAGGTTAGAAGGAACGTAGTCGGTTTTCCGATTCGCATGTTGTCTCTTCTTTGAATTAGTGAAATGGAAAGGGGTAGGGGATTCAATGACTTTGAACTAGAACTGGTTCCTCCAGAAAGACCCGTAGACAGATATGGTTTTATAAAGCAGTGTGTTAATAGCAGTAGCACTAAAGAAGGTTTACCAAGGAGTAGGTTAGTAGCTTATCTTTCCTTTAATTAGTGTGCCTCTTTAAGGTGACATTAGTGTAGCTGTCATTAGGATTTTATACTTTGTGCTAACAAGCATTAATCTGAATTGTGTTTTATGGTGATTAAAATTTTCCAGGGAAGCTAGAAAAGTTAGAAAATGGAGGAAAATGATTGGGGTTGGTGGGAGTGATTGGAAACATTATGTAAGAAGAAAGCCGCATGTCGTCAAAAGGCATATAAGGAAAGGTATTCCTGATTGTTTAAGGGGTCTTGTTTGGCAGTTGATCTCTGGAAGCCGAGACCTTTTGCTGATGAACCCAGGGGTTTATGAGGTATTTCTTTAATTTCGTGTAGGTTTAGACATTCTTTTTTAACAAACCGTGTATTATTTCTGAATGCCATGGCATTTGCTTGACTTTCCTTTCTGACTTAACATGCAATGAAACCTATTTCTGCTAAAATGCACGAAATAACCCTCAGCACTTGGGAACTGTAACATTGTTCCTAGTTTGTAACAAAACTGGGTTTAATGCCAGACTGTGAACTTATTGGAACTGATGGCTGCGAACTTAGAATATAAATTGGAAGGAAAGTTTGTTTTTAATATGATTGGATTAGGTATTATTAGGAAGTTTTTATAGAAGGATGGGATAGTATTGCAGCATTCGAAAATTACTTTTTGTGCCAGTATCATTCACGGTTGTCAATACCATTTGATCAGTTTAATCTTTAGTCTTTCAAGCCGGATTCACTAAATCATTTGGTGAGAATGAGGTCTGATGTCAAAGTAGTGGTTCTTTCAAGTCTACCAAAATATACTTTAATTGAACAATGCCATTTTGTTTAAGGAATACTCTGGTTGAATGCTCTTCAGATTTCTGTGATATAGTCAAGTTCAATCACGTCCGGACCAAACCCTTTCATACATCTTAGAGTACCTAGACAGTGAATTAAACAGTTTCCAAGTGGTCATCTGGGGTTACAAAATTGTTGTGGTTTAAAACAAAAGCCTTTTTAAGAGAATTATGGAACAAGGGTATTGTATTCCGTAAGGTGAGTACTAGAGCATGAACTTAGGATGATCTGAGAATAGTTTTCAGTTTCCCTGTTGTTTCTGGTACGTACATTATTGTTTTGTTTTGAATCATTATGGATGCCAGCCTTGATGTGGATTTTGTAAAAATTAATATTGAAAATTCAGACATCATTGTGAAATACATTTGAATTGGCATTACAGAGGAGAATGACGTCATAATTATTTGGTGTCATTTTATGTAACTTTTGGGTTAATAAAATCTGATTTTTGTCCTTATTCCCCCTCATTGGCTAATGAGGCAAGATTAATATGATGTTGTTTTGATGATAATGAGTTGGATTGCTGGAAATTTTATTCTTTCATTTTATTTTTTTAGGGAGAATTTTTGTTGTTGTTTGGACCAAACTGTTCCCTTATCTTAATGGAGATTTTCCTTTCATTATTTTTTTGGAGGCTTTTTCTTTTAAAATGAAAATGTTCTTTCTCGTTGCACATGTTCTTCACTGATGAAACTTTATGCTGTTGCAGCAACTTGTAGTTTACGAGACATCTGCTTCAGAACTAGACATAATTCGGGATATATCTCGCACCTTCCCCACACATGTTTTCTTTCAACAGAGACATGGACCCGGCCAGAGGTCCCTTTACAATGTTTTGAAGGCATACTCTGTCTTCGATAGAGCTGTCGGCTATGTCCAGGTTTGTCTCATTTTTAGGGGCTCGCATATTCATATATGTTATTGTCTAGGTAGATAATGCTATTGGTTTTTGTTGAAAATGCAGGGAATGGGTTTTTTAGCAGGCCTCTTGCTTCTTTATATGAGCGAAGAGGATGCATTCTGGTTATTGGTTGCCTTTCTAAAAGGAGCTGTTCATGCTCCTATGGAAGGCTTATATCAGGTATTTATAGTATTTAAAACCTATTTTTTCTATCTACGAAGCTGGATGCGCCATTTTTTGTTGTTAATGGTTTATTAGGGACTTACGTCTGGAAAGATTGTTAGTACCAGTTTACCACTCTCTCTTACTCGGGAATTAACATGCATTTATAGCAGTTTATACTAGCTACTGGTGTCGGGGAACTTTTCCTAGATTAATTGTGCAAGGAACTTAAATATTTGGATTATAAAGTGGATTAATTGATTTACATATTTATCTGATCTTTTAGTATGCTTATTGAACATATATATCGGCATTCTTGGTGGACAGCTGAGCATTGTGTTGAAATGAAACTAGTTATATCTGTCTACATTTTAAGAACTAGACTCGACATTCCGGCTTCTTCCCGTGATATATCCTCATGATATTACAATCATATTATTGTATGGTTGATAATCTAGCACATTTGGCATTCTACTCTAGGACAGTACGTAGTAATCTCGACAGGTTTCTCATGGAATAACTTTTTCCAAGGAACAAAAACTGAACAGGATGTCAGCACTGAGAGATGTGCGGTTTCTAGTTCAACCTTTGTAGCCAACTGATTTGGTTCGATCATATTAATATAACTGGAAGTTTTGGTTGAACTTTCTTTAACCACTGGCATTTGGTGCATTTTTCTGTTGAGCAGAGATTTCTATTTAATTAGCATCATCCCATCATTATATTTTCTGTCAGTTCTCTGAAAATTTGTATGCACTTGGTAGGTTGGGCTGCCTCTCGTACAGCAATACTTGTTTCAGTTTGAGCACTTGGTGAGGGAGCACTTGCCAAAGCTGGGTGATCATTTTAGCCGGGAGATGATAAATCCGAGCATGTATGCTAGCCAGTGGTTCATAACCGTTTTCTCGTACTCTTTCCCGTTTCCTTTGGCTCTTCGAATTTGGGATATATTTCTATTTGAGGTTAGTGATTGGAAATACGATATAGGTTCAAGCTGCTGAATAAATTGCAAGGCCTGAAAATTGGTTTTTTGAGTAAAAGAAAATGATTTTCTTCTTTTTATTTTCCAGGGCATCAAGATTGTCTTTAAAGTCGGATTGGCCCTTTTGAAATACTGCCATGACGATTTGGTAAGTAGCTCAAGAACTCTTATTTTCTCGAGATCGAACTAACCATTCTTCTCGAGATCGAACTAACCATTCTTGTTACATTGCTATGATGCTACATTGTTCATCAGATACATTTATCCTGTAACACCCCAATTTAGGGGCTAAATTTAAGAAAATATAAATTGGTGGATTTAATTTGGTATTTTGAAAGAAATAAGGGATTAAATTGTAAGATTTCAAAGTTGACAGACTGTTTTAAGAAGTGCAGGAAGTTCAGTGGCTAAACTCTTGGTTTAGCCATTTTTAATTATGAGATGTTATAAACCCCCATACTCCCGTATGTTTCTGGAAAATTTTCCAGTTTTCCTCTCCCGTTCTCCCTACTTCCAACTCCGATCTACTCGCCGTCCGACCTCCAAACGACAAGCCGAAACAACCATCGTGTTCGTTGTCAACCGAGGAACAAAACCCCTAAACCTTTCGTCGTGAATCATCGCCGTTCGTCGTGAATTTCAGTCGGAAGTATCGTCGGTAATAACTCGGTTTTAGTTGGTTTTTCATCGATTCACGACGATCGGGTCATCCGTTTACGACACCTCCCGAACCATCGTGTTCCTTGTGCCGTTCCGAGTCCACCGGTGTTCTCCTTTTTCTCCGGCGGCGGCGGCGCGTTGGGAGGTGAACCGGTCAAACTTCCCGATTTGTTGAAATCGAGCTCTCCGCCGTTCAAAATTGTGAACCTAGCTTTGTAAGTATCTCGAAATCGCTCAAAATAATTTTTAGAAATTTTTCCGGGATTTTATCACTGTTCACGCGCCCCCACGCGCCGCCACTGCGCGTGGGGAAGGGAAAAGTGACCGGTTTGACCGGTTTTGGAACTGTTTTGACCGGTTTGACCGGTCACAACCCGACCCGACCCGTTTACCCGACCCGTTGACCCGACCCGACCCGTTGACCGGAGTTGACCACTGTTGACCAAAACTTTGACCGGCTTTGATCGGGCATTAAACGACCTTTGACTTCGACCGAGTATACCTATCCTGACATTTTTCGACGTTCCAAATCCGATTCCGCTGTCCGTTTTTCGAAATTCGAACCCGAATGCCTCGAAATTGTCAGTCAAACCCGTTGACTTTGATTTTGACCGAAAATTCCAAATTTTCGAAAAGTCATATTTTATGCTTTCGACGTCCTGAATCCTAATCCGAAGTCCGTTTCACCAAATTCGAACCCGGTAAGCCGTCTTTCACTAATTTATCACCCGATTCGATCCGTTTATCGTAATTAAGCTCCGTTTCTGATATAATTTATGTTGATATGTATCTGAGGAATTATTGGAAGTTGAATTGAAGATCAAAGGCGTTCGAATGGAATTTTTATGGTCGATCAGTATTGCACGGAAATCGAGGTAATACTTTACTACCTCTTTATGCTTTATAGAACATGTTGGTATTGGTAAATGCATGAATGAAAATGTTTGGTCTCATATGTGTAATTAATGAAGTTCTACACTCGATCTGAATACGGTAAAAAGGTTCAGTAATTGATTATGGTTCAGATGACTTTTATAAGAAATTAAGGGATTGCTAGAATTAAATTACAAGTTATGTGCTTAGTGGTAAAGAAATCAACCTGGATCTGTAACTTATAATTTATTTCATCAAAGGTTAAATGTTAAAGGCATTTGGATGTGAATTTATAAAAATACTCCGGTAGGGTAAAATTACGAAAATACCCTTGTGTTATAAAAAGACAAGATTAGAATATGGAAGTTAGATAAGAGGATTTTACAGACATATTGATCTGATAAAAATATTGATGTGCATAAGAAATGATAGTTATACGTAGACATTATGGTTAAGATACTAGAAGTGTGTTAAGGGAATTATTTCAAGATCAGAGATTGTTCAAGAAAGCAATTAATCATAGGATCTCTAAATTATATTATTTTCGTTAAGAGCTAATATCGAACTTATCTGGTTAAGAAATTACGGAAATGCCCTTAAGAGGTAGAATAGTCTGAGATGACTCTGAATGAGAAAATACTTAGAGGATTCGTACTTAACTCGATTAAGTACGGATTTAATTGTTAAGATCCCGACTTAGTGCAGGAAAATTCATGATATTCCGTTTGTAAAATCTGAGAAGGCATTTGACCCGAAAATATCCGAGAAATGAGTAAATACATGAAGAATAATTTATCGGGGGTATTCTGCTGTCAGAATTATTCGAAAGGACTGAAACAAATAATGATATTGAATTAAATAATAAGATCGGATGGAGGAAAAAGATATAAATTGGAATTAAATAATAAGACCGAATGGAGGAAAAATATTGAAATACCGTGGATCTGTAAAATGACAAAAATACCCCTGTAATGGAAATGACTCAAGAATGTCACCAAGCTCAGGAATGATTGGATATCCTCGAGCTCTGAAATGAATGGAATAAAACTGAACATCAAAATTACCAAAATACTCTTATGGCCTAAATTAAGTAAATGTCTTGGATTAATTAAGGAATCCAAGTAAGATAAGTATTGGACTACCTTTAAAGGTAATGGAAAACAATTTAAGTGAATAGATCAACCCTAAAGCTATGTCAATACCTGAATAACATAGATATTACTGGAACATGTGTTCATCTTCTCAAGTTTGGCTCGATGATAAATTTTGGAAGTATTCAGCTCAGCTCTAGATCGTATTCAGTACTAAGAATTGGACGTTTGTTCGACAAATCAACCATGAAGACCAAATTGAATGGAATGGAAGTACAACATGTATCTGAAATTCAGGAACGTTTGAATTACTCTGGAAAACCTGAAGTAACTGGAATGGACATGACTGCTAAATGAACTAGGTAACCTCAATGACTGAGGATTTAATAAGTGATTTGGATAAGTTTGGAAACTCTGATGAGTTTACGTAGTGTACAATTAAAATGTGTTATGAACAAATTAATCAAGTACGTCAGCATTTCATGATATTGTGGAAGCGTGGAAATGAAATAAAGACATTGGAAGATTTATTCAGCGATAATTCCGAAAATTGTCTACGGACAAGAATTTGTGGTATTAAAGAGTAAATACCCTAGAAGGAAAATGAATTGACCAGTCGACATAGATTGTTAAGGTTCTGAATCTTCGTTCTCGAGTTGTTCGATTATCCGATCAATCGACATGGATGTAAAGGATTCTGAATACTCTTCTGATTACGTACAGCTTCTGAAAACTGTCAGAATAAGATAATATCCTGATAATTCACATTCTGAATAACTGATGATTTTGTCAGTTAATGAACTCTTCCAATAGTGATTCTAAATTCCGATATCCTATCGGTATACTGAATATTCGTGTTTCTCTACCTGTTAAGATTATCCAATACCTATGAATAATATCTGTAAACTCTGGTGTGTTCCCTAATCATATAAATATTTTATCTGATTTCCGACTTGAATTCTGTTATGATACCTGACCTGGATTCTGATCTGATATTGACATGGATTCTGATCTGATACATGACCTGGATTCTGATATGATACTTGACTTGAATTATGTTTTGATTTTTGATATATCCGTTTACGGACGGAACATGTTTTATTGGGGGGTATTGTTGGAGGAAGATTACTTGGAGGTTCCTCGGCTGTGTGCTCAGGGCCTTACTTATCGGTTCCTCGGCTGTGTGCTCAGGGCCTTACTGTTAGTGACGGGGTTGTATGGTTCTGGGGAACCTATACATTTTGTTCGTGACGGATGGGGGTATATATATATGTGTTTTAAAAAAATCTGAAAAGTTACATGATTTTTGGGAACACACTAGAAAACCTATTCTGATCTCCTGAACTCAGTCATCTGAAATATTTCTCTGAACTGAAAGCTCATTGCCCGTTACCATCTGAAATATCAGTAGGATCTCTGCTCAGCATAAAAATATGTAAATGTTCGGAAACAATAAGGAAATAAATATTTATCTGTATCTGCACGTTTTTAAGCATCATCTGGTAGTTCTGTATTACTGAGCTTTTCGAAGCTCATTCTATTACTCACCTTTTCAGGTTAAAAGAATTGTACCAGAGCATCTATCGACTTCAGTAAGGGAGTTCTTCCGGCGTTGTTGCAGAGTATGGTACATGTGATTAGGGAGCATGTAATTGTATTTTGATTTATATACGAGTCTGGAAATATGTTTTATTTTTAAATAGTGACAAATGATTTTATAAGTTTACATGTTCGGATAAAAAGATTTAAATTTTCCGCTATTTTTACAGTGGGTCGCTCCGGTGGCCCTAATGTGACTTCCCGGATTGGATCAGGCTACCCGCATCAGTCTGGGGGGTTACATTTAGTGGTATCAGAGCTATGGTTTGAGTCAAAATTTTCAAGTTAGACCGGCCGGTCAAATGTCAAAATATGTCTGATCAGTACATGCCCCTAGACTGCAATCGTACCTCTCTGAGCCGGAACTCCAGGGCCGAGTCTCTATCTGTATTGAGTAAACCAAAGTTTCTATCTGCTAAGGCTATACTTGTACAGAAAGGAATACCAGTAACATCTATATAAACGCTGTAAAGTAACTCATGAGCCATGTGAGAGTTATTCATCTGAGAATTTCTGACTCGACTCCGGAAATGAAATTGAGATATGTTGCTGCTCTACGAGCCTATTCACGTATCCAATGCTGAATTGATTTCACAAGAATAAAGTTGTTCTGATTATTTACTTGGAGCGAGTGAGAATTCTGAAGAGATTGATTACTCGAGAAAATTTTAAATTCTTTTATTGAAATAAGGAAAATTTATGATAAGAATGTATGCTCAGCTGGTTAAGGATAAGTGGAGGAATCGTACTTTTATAAAAGCTATTGATAGATTTGAAAGAACTGATGGAAGTTTCATTTATGCAATTATGTGACATGAATGAATTTCGATGACGAAATTTTTTTAAGGAGGGGAGAATTGTAACACCCCAATTTAGGGGCTAAATTTAAGAAAATATAAATTGGTGGATTTAATTTGGTATTTTGAAAGAAATAAGGGATTAAATTGTAAGATTTCAAAGTTGACAGACCGTTTTAAGAAGTGCAGGAAGTTCAGTGGCTAAACTCTTGGTTTAGTCATTTTTAATTATGAGATGTTATAAACCCCCCATACTCCCGTATGT